AAGAACGCATCGCAAGTACAAAATAAGTTATGTGCCGTATATGGAGATGAAGCCGCCTTAAAAGAAAGGCAGTGTCGAAATTGGTTTGAAAGATTTCGTTCCGGTGATTTTTCACTGAAAAAATCACAACGATCTGGCCGCCCAGTCGAAGTGGATGAAACCCATATCAAGGCCATTATCGATTCAAATCGTCACAGCACAACACGAGATATTGCAGAGAAGCTCAATGTGTCGCATACATGCATTGAAAAAAATTAAAAACCCTTGGTTATGTCAAGAAACTTGATTGATGGATCCCTCACCAGTTAAAGGAAATTCATTTAACGCAACGGATTAGCATCTGTGATTCGCCGCTACTGAAACGCAATGAGAATGATCCATTTCTGAAGAACCTAGTTACTGGCGACGAAAAGTGGATAGTTTATAACAATGTTACTCGCAAGAGACCATGGGTGAAGCAAGATCAACCAGCCCAAACAGTATCAAAAGCAGAGATTCACCAAAAAAGATTATGCTGTCAGTCTGGTGGGATCACAAAGGTATTTCGTATTTTGAACTCATGCCGCAGAACCAAACGATAAATTCAAATGTGTATGTTGAAGAACTCGAAAAACTGAAAGAAGGATGCAATTGAAGATAAGCGGCCGGCATAATCAAATCGGAAGGGTGTTGTTTTCCATCATGATAACGCAAGGCCCCACACATCTTTGGTTACTCGGCAAAAATTATTGGAACTGGGTTGGGATGTTTTGTCACACCCACCATATAGCCCTGATCTTGCGCCTTCGGATTACCATTTGTTTCGTTCCATGCAAAACTCTTTAAATGGTAAAATTTTTAACAACGCGGATGTTGTTTTTTAATAGCAAAGACCAGACATTTTACGAACGGGGAATTTTTACTCTGCCAGAACGATGGAAAAAGGTCATCGACAAGAACGGCCAATATCTAATTGAATAAAGTTATATTTTTAAACGAAAATTCCGAATTTGCCTTCTTATTTGAAATCGGCAATGACTTAGTTGCCAACCTAATAGCTGCAAGGCCTTTCATATTATTTTTATTAAGAAATCAATATGCTTTGTTATAATTATGATAATTGAACAATTTTGTAATCTCAATTAGTTGAAGTAATATCTGAGTGAAATGGCGAGATCAATCATTAGATATTAATTATAGCAGTTAAGGGTTACTGACGATACTCTAGAGGATAAGAATCGTTAAATTAGAATTTTTAATGCGTGCGGTCCCTTTGATGAATACACCAAAACTTTTGCTCCAAAATCAATTAGATTAAGAATTTGTTACCTTGATGTTGCACCATCGTTACTTCTTTGGTATCATATTATTCACCCCGAATTGAACTTAGTGCAAGTAGTGAGCCACATTTAATAAACAATTTTTTATTAAAGAAGGTCAACAAATTGATACTTCGTAATCTTGAAGTCGTTTTTCGTACGTAAAGCAAATAAGTTCATTTTCATCCCAAAGGCATGAAACGTTGATATCAAAATAAATTTATTAGAAAAAGGTAATTTACACACTATAAAAAATTACATAATAAAAATAGAAAGAGGTTCCTTTGCACAAAAGAACAGTAAGAGTGGAGGTCTATTCTTCAAGGCTGGCAATAAATCCAAGAAATTCTTTATAGTCTAATTTACCATTATGATCAACATCAAATTCGGCTACCCAGTCCTCAAGAACAGGAATTAAGGATTCCATGGATGCACATCTGAGAAAATTTTCAAGTTCCGGAATATCAACGGTTCCAGAATGGTCCGTATCGAGTTCATCGAATAAGCTTTTCCATCTAAAATAACATAGGAATAATGAAACTCAAGGAGTGAATATCTTTAATAAAAATTGATCGAAAGCCTTACGCTTCCATGGGCTGAGAAGAAATACCAAGGGCTATTTCATATTCTCCTCTTGTTATAATTCCATCTCCGTTAAGATCAAGTTGATCCATTAATTTCTAATAAAAATATTAAAACGTAATATATTTATTTAAATTTTAGGTAAATATTAAAGGCGTTTGGGTAAATTGAAGTTATTTATTGTAAGTGCAAATCAATTTTAAGTAAGTAACCATAATTTTGATATATCATTCTCACGCGTTACTTTTATAATAAAAAATAATTTTAAATTGATGGTTCTAAAAATTATAGAGAAAAAATAAAATTTACATCAGCTTCAGAGGCCCTGATTCCTTGAGAAGCTAATGCTTCAACTAATTCACTTCGATCTAGTGTTCCACTGTTGTCTTTGTCCGCCATTGCAAAGGCCTTGAGATAACGGTGTCGATTTGGTGACATTTTCAGTTTACTACAAGGAAGTCAAATAAATGATTTCCCAATAATAGCTTAAAATGACTTTAAAATCAAAGTTATACAAATGATGGGATCATTATCATGTATTTGAAAATGCATAAGAATTCACATAGGAAGATTGTGAGGTACCCACCTTTCTATTGAGATACAATATGAGTGAACGTAGGTGGTCAGCCTATTTATCTTCTTTTGAATTAAGTGATTTCATAGGCTAGTTTCGATGTAATTCAAAGAGAATCTTAATATGTGTTTTGTATCAAAACAGCAATATTCTATGTGAAACACATGTATCTCAATTAAAGAATGCATATTGAAATTAGTTTAATTAAATTAGTTATCATTGAAGCAGGTGCCCACTGTCTCTTTGAAAATTTTTATGGCTCAAGTTATTGTTAAGTTGTTCAACTTCTTGGCTAATGAGGTTACTTCAAATTTTTCTACTGCGAGTGCCCATTGAGCACATTTGTATAACTCTAAGTCATAATACTATGGTAAAATAACCTCTCTCTAGTGCGAAATACTTTTATAGTCTCCGATAATTGCCCTCATTTTCTCTTTCACACGGAAACTGCATTAAAGCAACCGTGAGATAATAACTTAAGGTAATCTCTTTGCTTTAATATTAACTCAATATATAAGGCATCGCATTAAATTATGAGAAATACTACCTAGTTATTGGTAAAGTGCCATGTAATGAAATGGAATCTTTTCATTTGTTTCGCAAAAAATACAACACAAAAAACTTGACAATAATAGTATCAATTACTGTGAATAAAAGCGAAAACTCTTACAAACGTAGGAAATGTTCTAATTTTGAATGAAAAGCGTTGGTGGGTCTGTGGAGTACATTCTGGAGGGTGTGCGGGCGTATGCTCAGTGGACTTCTCAGCTAATCAGCTATTAATGTTCATTTCAGCTATGTTAAATGCATTCAATTACTAATTTGGTTTACTGTGAGCAAAAAGTTCAAATTAATGTTGCACTTGTATTTCCATACCAGGGATACTGTGTTGAGGAGGTTTCTGAGAATATGTTGAGGTTTATTCATTTAGCGATCTGCTTCAAGTCCCCTCAGAAAAAAAATTAGTTTTATCATCGGAAATTGTACTATTTTCAATCATTTTTAGTGTTATTCATTACAAACCATTACTAAATCCTTTCAAATTGCATTAACTAAACAATTAATAATCGAGCAAATTCGAGTTACGTATATTAAATTAGTGGGAATTAATTGAAATTAAATATGTTCTTCTCTGATTCTAATATTCTATATCCATTTTTCCTCAGAAATTCCGTTTAAATTTTGCGCTAACTACACGTATAATTATAAGATGAGCTTTTGGTTTTTACGTCACTCAAACAATGCCTACAAATAAAAGTCGGTAATAGGTGGGGGGGGGGGGGGGGTTTAAATCATGACAGACGACACCCACCAAAAGGTGACTTTGATTTTTTATCAGATCTAGACGCGAGTTATTCTTTAAAGCTAGTTAGCCTTATTAATTAATTTTTTAAATTTACAAAAAAATGTGTTAACTTTATAGAAGACTCAAATTTAGCTACAAATGTCCTTTTAGGCTTTCATAAAATGGGCTGCTTTCATCGAAAAAGGTTGTGTAACTGGAACAATCAGGGTGCACCACGAGGAGGTAAGACTTCAAACTACCATGACCCCACTGTATGTCATATGCGACCCCTTTCCTCGTTACTCATCTTACCCTTTCTGAGCATTGGTGTCTGTCTGTTTCTTTTACATCTGTGAATCACTCGTCTATTCTCCCTCTCGAATTCTTCTCATTTTGATGTTCCTCCTCCCCTCTGTGAAGCCCGAAGTCAACCAAAGGGCTAATGATAACTGTCAAAACGCCTGCCATTTGTTATAAACAAACTTGTCGTTAATTTAGTCGCCACTTACTCCTCATCCTCCTTAATGTGTTCGATCTTTTATTTGCCCTCATTGCTGTGGCCCTACTGGGAATTTCTCATTTCCTCATACAAGCACTATAGGGTTATCGATCAATGCTCGTGTCTTAGCATCTACTTTATTACTAAGACACACCCGGTGTGCAATATGGGAAGAAAGTGCTTGATTATGCGATTTGTATATTAATCAATAGTTTTCTTTCTTGAAATAAATCATGTAAATGCGAAATGTTCTACAGGTTTTTAAATGCCCTGTGTTCACACATCGTCATGGCTCATAAACGAAGTCCCATAAAATATATGAAAATTCCTGCATCGTTGACGTCAAGATTGAACAAATTCCTTACCTTAAAGACCTACTGTAATTGAGTGATATGTAGGAATGCATGGCATTGACACAAAAGAACTATCTTGGCAACGAAGGTATGATAAAAGGGCAGATAAGCGATATGAGAAAAACACCAAAGGAGAAAGTCAATTTCAGTAGTCGTTAAAATGAAATACAAAGCACGCGGCAATTTCCAACTGAAATATTAAAAGCAAATATTACGAAACGCAAATATGGTGCTTTAAACTTTTTTCCCTCATATAGATGAATGAATGATATGAAGAATAAAGTGAAAGGCTTCAGCGAAAAATGCACATTTTCAATTATAAAGAAGTGAAATTTGGGATATGGGAGTAAAATGATGACTGAAATACCGCCCTAGCTCAATCAATGGGAAAACCAACTCTGTTTCTTCTTCAACGAAGTAGCAAGTACCATAAATTAATCTGCCCCAACTTCTCATCTTTAACACATCTTAGTCCTTGATTCAGTCTTCAAGAAATGATATGGCAGACTCCATGCATCCGTTTATGAGAAAATCGTTAAAAAATCTGCATCAATTGATCCATAATGATCTTTATCCAACTCACCAAAATGTGCATTCAATATGCGAAAAATGTCAAAAAGTAAATATACGGTTCAAATGTACGGTGCAAATTTTGGGCATTCATACTCTAATGGGTTGATTAAATAAACACGGGACAAATTTAATTTCCTCAAATAGAAAACCCTTTTTTCCATCTAAAACCAGGTAATCTCCATTAAATCCTGCGATCAAAGAAAGTTATTTAAGACACGCTTTACACCTAAGGTGTCCTGATAAGATTCATCAACTTACTTCTATTTCAGAAAATGAAAGACTTTCCATTAAAAGGGAGTATCTTCGATCATTACGAGATAACGGCTATTCATATTATCTGACTAGATAAAATAGGTTTAATCAGGTTATTTTAGTAAAAAAATATTCCAATTTTCGAGAGAAGTATGGGTATCATCTGAGAAAAATACCTCATTATTTTATATCACAGGGTTGAATGAACGATATTATGGATGACTACAGAGAATTTTCTAAGAGAAATATTCTAAAACATATCATCCACCCCCATTATTGACAAGGGTGGCACAATAACAAAGAATTGGAGCATGAAAAATAGCACATAAATTGTTGTGGTTATATAGGCTAATGTCGTGACAACAGTACAATGTATGAATTTTCACTTACTTGTAAGAAAAGGCCTATCCATGTGGATTATATTGAAAGTATGGGTCTCATGCATAAAGGTAGAGAACCTGCTTTCAGAAATAGGAGCTGTGGCAAATTGATCCTGGCAGACGTATTTTACAGACATGATTAGTTGGTATTTTGCCTAAAGTCCCTTGTTTAGCATATATATGCATTAGACTGTATGAATTTAAATTCTATTTATAATGTTTCCTTAAATATTAGAAGAAATAGTTATTTTAAATTTTCGATTCTTTGTCAAAACTATATACTCGCATCATCTCGATTTCAATAGGGCCAACAAGGAATGATTTGGCTAGCAGTAATGTGAATGAATGATGGTGAGTTTAAATTAGATTTGCCAGTACGAAATTATTCAAATGAAAAGCATATCTCATTCAAATATCGCCACAAATTATGACGTAGTTCAAACTGATGGTCGCGGTGTCTTAAAGGCTGTGTAAATGGACCTAATATTTTTCTAATAATTTCATTGGGATGTCACGTGTGGCATTTTACTAAAACATAACTATAAATTAAGTCAAATAATCATGCTCTTGGTATTTATTGCAACATGGCTAAATAATATTGTAGGCGAATAATAAAATTGCATAATGGTGTTGATTTTTAGGTAAGAGAGTGTTAATACATAAAATGGGATAACATGATGAAAGTACTGACAATAGGGTGAGAACCAATGTGAGATTTAAGTTAGACAAACTCATTATAGCGCAATTAAAACTCTTTTAAATGAACTGAATTCGAATATGACCGTCTGTGGAAATGGGCTAAACAATACGTAGGTGTTCAGGATACATAGCAATAGAGTTAAGGGTTTTCACTTTTATTAATCAATAAAAGTAACGTATTTTAAACATTAAGATAATAGGAAGTGGGGATTCCTACTGAACCATCAGTATATTCACCCTTATACAATTTATATATGCTGCACTGAATTGGATTGGCCTGTTCAAGAATGTGAAAAAGAGTTCCTTAACACTCGCTAAATGGGAGATGCTGAAAGGGGCAATTTAATTTGATTAGGTAAATTCAAGTTACACTGCAAAAATGGCTATTGAAGGATGTCTTAAAATATTAATGGTTTTAACATATTGCCTAATATTTTACATTTCTGCGAATTCGACATAAGAAAGTGTGAAAATTATATTCTTTTAGCAAACTTATCGAAATTGCAAATATTTAAATGATGGGTGTCTGCCTTTTTTCAGTATTTAAAAGCAATGCATATACTAATGACACATTAGCTATATGATTAATGGTTATACAACTAAAATATGAGTTGCATATTTTAGCTTGAAATTAAAAGTAAGTGAATATTAGTTTAAAATGACATTCCGTTTACATTCCAGACGGACTTCGCTTTGTTAAATATTATGTCTCATAACTTTCCCCAATATTTATTAATAGGAATTTTCCGCTCATAAATTTCGATCATTGTAAAATTTGCTTTCTTTTTGTCATTACAACTGAATACTCTGATCATATACAATGCTTTAAATTTTTTATACAACACATGCACAACACGATATGCATATTTTGTTTAACGCTAGATTTCTTCCACACTAGATGAAACAATGCAAATGGAAAAAGAATTAAATTGAATGATTTGCTGTACACAGCTTCTTTCGGTCTTCCCAAAATATCCATGAGATATGTGTCTCACATTAATGAATGAGAATGTATTTTATTTGTAAAAGTGATATTAAATTAAATTCTTATTTTGATATTACATTACAGTCCTCAAATTTTGTATGCACTCCTAAATAGTATAAGAATAGAAGACATTTTACGGTATGGTCATATTAATAGACATGGGGTGTGCGATAGACTTACCTCCACGTGGTGCACCCTGGGCAACGTATTCTCATACGGCAAAAGAGTCTATTAACTGGCAGTTGGCTTCTGACTTCAAACTACCATGACCCCATTGTATGTCTTATTCGATCACTTCCACCATACTTATCCTACTTTTTCTCTGCCTTTGTGTCTATCTGTCACTTTTACATCTTTGAATTACTCTTCTGTCCCCCTTCTCCACTTTTTCTCACTTTGATGTTTCTCCTTCCCTCTGTGAAGCCCGAAGTCAGCTAAAGGGCAAATGATAAGTATCATAAAGCCCGCCATTTGAAATAAATAAATATTAATAGACATTAAATTATGAATGTAAGGGGAGGGAATAAATTGGAAGTTTTACATTAATGAACCTTTTTCTTTCATATAAATCCCATGTTGAACACATAATTTACAATAAATAAATAGCATTTAAAACACTAATATATCTTTATTTCGTGCAAATAACTGTTACTGGTGCACTGATTTTGTCATGTTACCTGAAGTTTGGCAAGCAGGCATATATTACGCTTATTGTATAAGATTTTAAACTCTGATATAATAATGGATATAAAAGGTAGTTAAAAGTTGATTAAAATTATAAAATAGCAATAATGATAAAAAATATTAAAAATGATACAGACAGTTAGTGGATTAAGGAAGCTTATTAGAGTTATGAAAATAAAACGATTAAAAAATTTTCAGTCAAGTGTTATATGGATTAGTAAATAGTAGGAATTTAGAATCTTTCTCTTAAACTCCAATCATTTAAATAAAAAACGTTATTTAAATAAGACCCTTATTATCAAATTTAAATATAAACTAAATTTATTCATTTAGTTACTTATTTGTTTATATTAACTAACTTATTTGTAAGCTTTGACCTATACCTGGCTTCATTTGCAAACTTACAAAATGGGTAATTTTGATTTACCAATTCTTTGCACTACGCAATTATAACATCAATCAAAACATTATAATAATTTCTTGATAAAAATCAGAGATAAATCAATTCTAAATTTCTTGAATTTTTTTAGTTCGCATCTATAACTGCTATAACTGAATATTTTTGACTTAAAATAATGTTTCATTTTAAGGTGCTCATCCACCACCTTATAAATTTTTGATTTTTCTGTAATATATATATATATATATATATATATATATATATATATTTAACTCCATCGTTTACTTTCATTAATCTTTATTATATTAGAACGATCTCAAGAGAATCCACACAATGCTGGTAATTTATATATTAGTTATTTTGAGTTAATTTTTCAATTATAACTATTTAATTTACTTATAAACTTATAGTGATTACTCAGCCTGCTCTTGGAAAAGAGCCACAAGAAATATATTGTCCATCGTGTCGTAAAACCGTCTTATCTGAGACCTATACTAAAACTGGTCATGGGACTTGGCTTATGTGTGCAATATTGGCCCTTATAGGGTAACTTCAATTATTTAATAATTTATTATTATTAGATGCGATTAAGGTTGCTGCTTTATACCCTTTTGTGTGAAGTCATGCAAGGATGTTCAACACACTTGTCCAGAGTGCGACAGAATTGTGGCTACCAAAGAGTATAAGCTCTTCGGTTAAATTTCAGATTTCCATTTATTTTCGTGTTCCCTTTTATTTCTAAATAAATTATTTCATAATGTCAAATTTTATCTTTCAGTGGATTTCATAAAATTTTGTAATTTTCACAGATTAAAGTAATTTGAAATGACTAATTGGCAAAAATTTGATACAATTATGATGTTCAAGCCTTAGTAGAGAGAGGCGTGATAGATTTAGGGAATAATTGGAGCATTTAAGTACTTCAAATTATAAGCATACTCAATCACTTTCCATATACTGTTGAATTACTATCCCATTATGAAAACATTTTATTTCAATTATTTTTTCATAGAAAATGATTATCACCCAGATACCTTTAATAATTGACGAAATACTTACCACAGGCATGCTCATAATTAACGATATCATCATAATTTAAATTTTTGATATCAAATGGAAACAGCAAAAATTCATTTATTTTAAATATATTGTGATAATTAATTTGATCATTTTGTATTTACCTTCCAAAACATGCTTATATTAAGTCTTGAATGTGATACCCTTTAAGCACTAGAATAAACTGTTAGAGGATGTGACCAACTTGACACAATGGTCACTACCTTTTCGCACAAAACACCCGAAATGAGTGCATCTTATGGTGATAAATCCCAACTCAGTCTTTTATTTACTTCCTGACTGTGGGTTGGCCCATGCCCATTAGGTGACACTATGAAAGTGAGATGAATCCATCGTTAGTTGAATATGAGCGAATGAAATTGTCAATTGCATTTTATCATTTTTTCCAGTGGGCAATGTTCACAGAAAGTAGTGAAATTCTTACTAATTTATCACCAGCTACATAGCTGAGGATGCAATGGCTGTTATTGAAAATCTGAGACTGACCACCTTATATTTCTTCAAAATTTTAATACGTATGCATTTTAATTCAATCAACCAGTTATGCAAACTTTAAGGTGAGATCTCTGAGTCATTGGAAAATGCTTGTACCATTATTTCGCGGTAATATATATTAAATCGATCAGCAAATACAGCCAGGCAATTAGTTAACACAATTGTAACTAGCTATTCTATCAAAAGATCTGTAGTTATTAGAGGGTACAGATATATGAAGACGAATTGATCAATCATTCCAATATATCGACCAGATTAAAGAGCTATTGTGTGGCATGAAACCTTTCTTGAACCTTCGACGCAAGTTCTGAATTTGTAAGAGTGCTATATTGAAATAACGTCGAAAAATACAATCATAAGAATGGGCCCTCATTGACAATGGGGGGCTCTTATGGCGTTTAAGCTCCCTTTTCTATTCTCATTTGCTGTTCCTGTACCACTATCTTCTTCAATCTCTTTCCCTCCAACTTGACAAGTGGACCAATTCAACTCTTGTTTCTAGGTTTAGAGAATGGATGTTGTATTTCGTCAGTCTTCTTGAAAACTAATTCCCACCCAAGGTGATTTCTGAATCCATCGCACTCAGTTAATTGGAGTCCATTTGTTTAATAAATCGATTGCAATTGTTAATCAACTTAGTTAGATCAAAATATTTCCCTCGAATCTATCTCATTTCATTTTTGAGACTAACTCTTTTTACGAATTAGTGAAATAAAATAGTTTTATTGCTCAAGTTCGAAAAAAGATTACTTGAATAATATGCACTGAAGTAAATATTAAGGCGGCTCATGTTGCTTCAAGAAATGATTTATCCCAATGATTTAAAAGTAACCAGAAGCGTGTTTCATTTAAAATTCCTACCATTATTGTTTGAAATTGAGCACAAAGATATTAACAACAGTCGAAAGATTAACACTTAGTGCGAGTTGGCACTTTAGGCTTTAAAAGAACATTTTATCTCGCACAACGATAACATTTAAACAGACAATGCTGATAACACTAATGGAAATAAGCATCAGTTCGTCATATTTGATTAACATTTACTGCCGTTAATATAAGCAAAAGTGAAAGTAAGATTTAAGTTAGATTTGACTCAAAATTCTTTCCTTTCATGATTCGGTATTGTTTTAATTTGCTCTAAAATTTCAGTTTACCTCTAGGTGGGTGATTATAAATCTCAATGCTTGGAAAATGGAACCTTGCTACAAGACAGAAAACACTTTGGCCCATCAATCCGCAATAATTTGTTGAGTAAGAAAATGCAGACTGATAGATAAATGGAACGTGATTGATGGAGCGGATTTTAAAGTCAATATATCCAGTCTCTTTTAGTAGTCATGCATCAAACTGAGTTCATTCATATGTTAGGGGACTGGGAGTAAAGTTATTAAATGCAAATCATTAGATCCTTTATTAGCTAATAGGTATTAGAATTTAAATATTGTATTTAATGAAAGGTCAAATCAATTTAAGTCTTTTATGAGGGGCTAATTTTGAATTTAAAAAAAAAACACAAAAACGTTGGAATGCTGTTCACCTCTAAATATTTCCCATCAATCTCAGTCAAAGTGAATATATCTCAACATATATATTTTTAGAAAATCAGCAGATATGTGAAACTATTCATGCACACATGGAAAGGAATAATTGTTTTTATATTCTACTAGGCTTTTGCTCACATAGAACGCCTCTAGTTGTTTTAGCTTTCGTATATTAATTGCACGTCAAATTCCCATTTGTAAGATTCAATGAAATCGCATTTTAGCTGTACGATATTTAAAATACCTTATTTATTTCAAATGGCAGGCATTTTGTTAGTCATCATTACCCCTTTATCTAACTTCAGGGTTCACAGAGGAGGATGGGGAACATCAAAGTGTCAAACAGTCGAGAGGAAGGGGGGAAGGGGACAGAATAATGATTCATAGATGTAAAAGGGACAGACAGGCTCAAATGTAAGGCGAGATCTGCTGAAATGGTGGAATATGGCATACAGTGGGGTGATAGTAGTTAGAAGGCAGAAGTCAACCGTCAGTTTATAGATTTTTTTGCCGTATGAGTATACGTTCAATTTCGGTTGGAATTCTTAATTACACCTTAGCTTAAGATGAATTTGTAATATTTTTTTAGCCTAAAATTAATATTGGAGAACTGTGACTGGAAATGTCAATTAAGCCCACTCTGAAATAAATCCTAATACTTGGTTGGTAATTTGTTAAAAAGATACTGTGGCGTGTGCTCTTGAAATGAAAGATAGGGATTAAAAAAATAGGCCTATAAATAATCTTCTATGATTCGAAAGTTTCAACTTTAGACTGACAATTTAAAGTATACTTATAAATAGCAATAGGTGGTCCTTTAAAATAGTGAAGAAGAGCCTGTGAGTTTTGATTAATAGTGTGGAGGAATAAGGGCGAATAGTTTGATAAAATTGGCAGCAATACTGAAATAATTCACTAAATCGCATACCTTTGTCAAAATTCATAGAAATTGAAAAAAAGATTGTTGAATAACCTGAAAGCAACTGATTTGATCGACTGTAAGTAAACACATCACTATTCATGCAAACCTGGATATGTGATAATTGCATTAAGCATTAAAGATTTCAGATCTTGACTGTGTAATGGATTGAACTAAATATACAAAAGTAACCGAGTTCACTATTTGCTCCAGTAGTTACCATGGACGATTTCAGTGAATAATTCCCAGCTAAAAGTCTTCAATTGACAATAAATTCGGCTTTTGATAGGTAAATGGTTTTATTCGAGCGAAAGAAGGCAGATAATAAGGTTAGTTTAGACAGTTTTAAGTAAATATGTTGTCCAATTTATTGCTATTGTACAATTCATATTAAAAGCGTTAATGAACTAATGCACTATCGAATATACCAAAACGTATTTTTGGTAACGGGAAAAAGATCTTGCTGTTTGAACTCGCGAATCGCTGGAGACTAATTGAAATGGAACTATTGTTATGACGACACTTTGCCATGCCAAGTCATGTTGGAGAAAGCCGGAATGCACATTTATACGTTTGATCAGTCCATATCCAGGTTTACATTTTTATTATTAGCAATTAAATTCTTCTATTTCCAGAGATGGGGGTTAGAATTTTACTTTATATCAATAAAGTCCATTCTCAAAGTCAATGTGTAATATTCGATGAACTTACTTAGGCTTACATGAAAGAGCTAAAAAGTACAAATTTCGCTCCAATTCATCAAAAAATTTTAAATTATTCATTTTTACCCTTCAAGATCGCCTCAACTCACTTCCCGCCATTAATGGTATGACAGGCAAAGAGTCCATATTCCTGTGTGATCTATTTCGATAAGAAGTAATATTCCTTTTGCCAAACGTAGAAATTTGAACACTGAATTATCTTTTTATGACTGCTTTGAATGAAACACTGAAAAATCTTGAAGGTATTGCATTTTGTTTTATTTTTAACATGAATCGAATTCCTATATTTTACATAGGGGGATTTGTGATTGACTTACCTTCATGTGGTGCACCGTGGGTGACGTATAGTCATGTACAAAAAGCCCATAAACAGGCAATTGACTTTTGAATTCAAGTTACACGACCAATCCGTGTGCTTGAATCGACTACTTCCACGGTACTCACTCACCTTATCTTTATCTTTACTCTTCTTTTCCCTTTTTAACTTTTTGTGACTGATGGATTGAGGTGGTTATAGAGGTTAGTGTTGTGACAACAATACAATGTATGAATTTTCACTTACTTTTAAGAAAAGGCCAATCCATGTGGATTATATTGAAAGTGTGAGACCCAAGCATACACGTAGAGAACCTCCTTTCAGAAATCGGGAACTGTGGCAAATTGATCCTGGAAGACGTATTTTACAGACACGATTAGTTGGCATATTGCCTAAAGTTCTTTAATTGGCAAATATATGCATTAGACGGTATGAATTTAAATCCTATTTATAATGTTAAATTAAACATTAGAAGAAATAGTTATTTTAATTCCTCGATTCTTTGACTAAACTTATTTATTTATTTATTTCAAATGGCAGGCATTTTGTTAGTCATCATTACCCCTTTATCTAACTTCAGGGTTCACAGAGGAGGATGGGGAACATCAAAGTGTCAAACAGTCGAGAGGAAGGGGGGAAGGGGACAGAATAATGATTCATAGATGTAAAAGGGACAGACAGGCTCAAATGTAAGGCGAGATCTGCTGAAATGGTGGAATATGGCATACAGTGGGGTGATAGTAGTTAGAAGGCAGAAGTCAACCGCCAGTTTATAGACTTTTTTGCCGTATGAGTATACGTTCAATTTCGGTTGGAATTCTTAATCACACCTTAGCTTAAGATGAATTTGTAATATTTTTTAGTCTAAAATTAATATTGGAGAACTGTGACTGGAAATGTCAATTAAGCCCACTCTGAAATAAATCCTAATACTTGGTTGGTAATTTGTTAAAAAGATACTGTGGCGTGTGCTCTTGAAATGAAAGATAGGGATTAAAAAAATAGGCCTATAAATAATTTTCTATGTCTCGAACTTTCCAACTTTAGATTGGCAATTTAGAGTATACTTATAAATAGCAATAGGTGGTTCTTTTAAATAGAGACATTCCGTTTAAATTTCAGACGGACTTTGCTTTGCTATATCATT